TATCGTCTGATTGCTTACAGATGCTGCTATAGTGGACTCCGTCTCGAAGCGACACTCGGACTTCAGACGGACGAATTCTCGTGCGATTTCATCCGTTTGACGTTGACTCAGTATCCTGTAGACAATTAAGGATGACACTCAAGAAACCATTTGATTCAGTCTCAAAAAAATGCTTTCATGGAATCTACTAGCGTGACATTATCAAATGCTAGAGTTTATCTCACTAAAGCTATGTCTCAGTTTGTTAAACTGCTTGACAAATTGAACTGGATTGCGCGCATTCAAAGAAATCTGGTGACGATTATGAGAAGCGAATCTTTGATACTGTGGTGCTTTTCATTTTTTTTTTGAGAGAGAGAGTTCTGACCTGAGCAAAATCAATCCGGTTTCATCAATATGGAATCGTCGTCCAAGTTGTACCCAGCAAGCGCACGAGCCTTGTTCAACAACACCCGCCAGCTGCAGCACTCCCACACCAACGATACGATCCTCACGAGCGAAACAATAGTCCTTCACTTGAAACATCAACTCGTAATGTTCTGGTTCACCTTCATTACCAAGGAAGCTGAAATGCTCAAATTTGAGTGCTGAGAAAACACCTATTGTAATGTTCATAAAACACTTATTGCTTATGAACCTTATTGCAATGGTCATCAAATTTCAAAATAAATATTTGATCGCTTAGAGCAAAATCGCACTGAGGAAACACCAATCGTGATTTGTAACACAAATGTTGATTTACGGATTAAGCATAATGTTTTTCTTCGATAGATGTGAATTTTCACGGAATTTCTTTTCCTCTCATAGATATTTTTACTTCATAGAACGCTTTCAGGCATGCGGAAAAAAGAGCATATCAAAATCTTACAAATGAAACGTCTCGTTGAATTTTGGTGCCCAATTGCCGGCTTTTGATTTTGTGGCCATTTTACGCTTCTTATCCGCTAAATGCGGACCAACTAAGTGAATCTCCACAAATGGTTTGAAGACGCTTGCGGTTTGCCACCTCAGATCGTTTGCAGCCAAAACTGAAACCATAGAATAGCGGTTAGGTGGAGAGGTGATTGCGAAGAAAGAAATTTCAAGGGAAACGACTGGCAAGTTGAGAAAGGATCATTGAGTTCTCTCTGAGAATCGTATCTTCTTGATCTGGAGCGATGATTAAAACAGTTAATTTCTTTTCTACTTATAAAATGAGAGATGAACGTACTTTTCACTGTAACTTTCTGCTCTCCTGTTCCGGGATGACTGAACAGATCCACTTGAACGCTGACCTCTCCAACAGGTTGCTCTTGTGATGGCAAATCTGAAATTTCCCTTTGCTAGTTCAATATTCCTTAATATTCTCTTAGTCGATCGCAACTATGGATTCGCCTACCTCGAATTAACGCATATAAAATACTAAAGTGGAGTGTTATCGCTGTGCCGACTTAGCAATCTCTATCAAGAATTTGATTTAGATTATCGTGAGTTTTGAGAAAATTTCAATTTATCGGATTGAAACGAAAGGATTAGACAAATGCAGTATGAACTCTCTATCAGATTTCACTGATGAACTTGAGATTTCCATCGAATATTTTCTAAAAACCGTTATAAAAAAATTGGACGATCCCTCTTATTGGACTGAGAAGAATTTTGTGCTGTTGACAACGTTTCTTGTTCTGGAATGATCATTTTAAATGAATTTCTCGTTTCTAGCTCAATATTCCCCATAATCAATATTCTCTTAGTCGATCGCATTTATGAATTTGTCTATTTCGAGTTAATGCACACAAAATGTTAAAGTGGAGTGTTGCCGATTCAGCAGTTTCTATCAGGAATTTTATTGATCGTGAGATTAATGTAGATTTTGAGAGAGAACAATCCTTGAAGGTTTAATCAACGAAAACCGATAAAATAAACACCAGCTTCACTACTACGATGAAATGAATCGAAAGGATAGTCTCAAATGCATAAAGTGCAGTCATATTCAATCAACATCTGTGCTTATTGGTAATAAACACAAAAGTGCATCAATTCAATTAGGCGTTATGAGTAAAAAGGTTATCGATTCAGTTGCATTCTCAAAACGAACAAAACTTCATTTATGGATAAAGCTTTAAGAAGAATCTCTAAAATACTGACTTCAAACTGAAATGCCAGTGATGCGGCAAAACCTTACGGTGAAATAACCATGATTCATAAAACAGATATGCATTTCTTGGAGATTCTTCCGTGTTTTTTTTTTCAAAAAATTTTCAGCCCATGTCGCGACTAGCGCGAAAAGCCAGCATACAATTATGATAGTACTTAAAGAAGATGGTACTTAAGTCAAATAGAAANATGATTAAGCAATAGGCCGATAGTGTACTGGTGTAGCGCTGGGCTTTGAGGATCCGATCTGTTCAGAAGGCGTGAATTCGATTCCGCGTCGGTCCAAAATCTTTGACAAAGTTTGATCTCATTCAAGAGATAATCAAGCGGGCTCAGTTTCGACAGCTCATTCGTATCTGTTGTAATTTGTCTTACAAAATACTTTAGAAAGCCTGAAAAGACAGCAAAAATGACGGCACCTTGTTGTTTTTGACTCGTAATGAACGTTTTGATGAGCTGCTCAGTGGTTTGCGTGTATAGTGAAAGTGCGTATTTGAGCGATTGCAATTCGGGCGATTTCTCGAAGAAGGACTTCTTCAAGCCTTGACCACCTGCATGGAAGCACTCCTTGATGGCATCCAACGCTGCGTCCAGCACTGTACATTGCTTTGGTGTTAACGAACGTTCACATTCCCGTGCCATATCCTTGAAACAAAACGAATGTTCATCCAAAATATTTTCTTTTCCTTTTTGTATAGTCTCAAAATTCTTCCAAAAGTTTACCAAAATCCATAAGTAAACAACGAGCAGCTAGCTAGTTATCGCACGGTAAAATGCATGAGAATATTAAATTTTGCAGTTCCTTAAATATCAGATTACAAGAAATTCCATTGAATAGCTTCAATTATGATAATGCAGCAGTATTCGTAACAAGACGGTATCAGTTTCATTCGAAACGTTCCAAAAAACGTGAGTGAAACTGGATGCATCGATTCAACTACCAAATGAACACAACTTCTGTTGCATACCCCTCCTGAGAAACACTTGATATTTTTTCATTCTATGAGAAATGAGTTTGACTTCAGCGCCTTGAAATTAGTTCATAGTTTTGCGTTCATGCCACTCAACAAGAGAAAGGGAGGGATAGGGACACATCGACTGAATTCATTACGAGAATGATCCTCATGCTCTTGGAATATGCAGCGGTTTCAAGCTGCCCAATCAAATGAATGTTCTCAGTCTTCGGAATGATATGGCATAGCGAAAAAAAAGAAAAAGAAAACGGTATGAACGGTTCGAAATGCTCGAAGCAGTCATCCAATGTGCAAGAATGTAACCAACCATCATTTCTTTGACTGAACTCATGCTTTTAACATCTTTCAGATGCGAGGACATCAACTTGGTTACATCACCGATCTTTGCGTTTGGTAATTGCTTCAGAAGCTGAAATTTTCCAAACGATCAAAAAAGGCAGTAAAAGCGGATGGATGAGCATTGCAAGGAGTAGATTCAGAAAAAAACTCCATCACATAACGTTCATGGTCATGCAAGAAAATGAATAGGCTACGGCGATACGAAATCAATTAAAGAGAGTCATTTTCTATCGTCACGTCACATCTCATCTTTTAGAATCTGTACTTTTTGCTGGCGGAATAAAGCATTTTCTTGGATCTTCCCTCATCCACGGAATTTGAGTTTAATGCAGTGATTGGCTAACAGAAAATCTAGTTTCTATTATGTGGAACTGAACAATTAGCAAGCATAACATTGATAAGAGCACACAACATCAGAAAAACTAACCGCTTTATTATCAAGTGGTGGCAGCACAACAATTTTCTCCATACTCGATATGGTGATCTTCCACAATTCCTTCAGCAAATATTTCAGAACTGTTTTTTCACACTGTGAAGCGTAC